ATAGTAAAGTTGGAAGGGACCTTGGAGGTCATCTAGTCCAACCCCCTGCTCAGGCAGGAAACCCTATACCATTTCGGACAAATGGCTGTCCAGTCTCTTCTTAAAAACCTCCAGTGTTGGAGCATTCACCGCTTCTGGAGGCAGGTTGTTCCACTGGTTAATTGTTCTAACTGTCAGGAAGTTTCTCCTTAGTTCTAGGGTTGCTTCTCTCCTTGCTTAGTTTCCACCCATTGCTTCTTGTCCTGCCTTCAGGTGCTTTGGAGAATAGCTTGCCTCCCTCTTCTTTGGGGCAGCCCCTGAGATATTGGAACACTGCTATCATGTCCCCCCTCGTCCTTCTCTTCATTAAACTAGACATACCCAATTCCAGCAACCGTTCCTGAATATATCCTGAATTTTGCTGAAAAGGCAGTTCTAAGTGACAGCACTCAGGCCTCTGTTTTATCATTTTGTAACACATTTTCCACTAGGTGAGAAATCCCCAATGGCTTGACAGACAAGCGTTCTAGAAAAGTTAATGAACATGACACCAGTTCCTGACTGAGTTGAAGGCAACCTATCTCGCCATCAGGGTTCGTACGAGAGCCAAAAAAAGCGCCTAGATTGGTGGCTTAAAGAAAAGCTTAATTATAATGAATCTGGGGGTTCTTAAATTCTTTGAAAGGCATTTGATGCCCTCATGCATTACTGTTAACAATGTTAGCTTGATCCTGTGTTAATCCTGGTGATTTCCTCTTTGTTTGCTTCATTTGACTGAATACTTCGGGAGACACCACTGTGGTATCCCGTTTCTTATCATCAATGGATATTCCAGGATCATGAATTAATTACTGTATGCATCTATCAGCAGTTGACCTAAAACTGCAAATGAAATATTGGCTGCCTTCATTTGGCTTATATGGATATTACACATATTATTTCCAGAGGATAAAAAAAACATATTGTTCCATTAATCCTAAGGAGTTTAGTTTTGGCCCCAAACAGAGATGAACTTGTTGGGAATTGAATTAACTTCTCCCTCTGTCAATTAATGCTCAGTTTCATGTGAACATTGATTTAAATCAGCGGTGTCCAACCTTGGCAACTTTAAGGCCTGGGGACTTCAATTCCTAGCATGGCTAGCTGGGGAATTCTGGGAGCTGAAGTCCACAAGTCTTAAAGTTGCCAAGGTTAGGCACCCCTGACTTAAAGGTAGGTGTCTGTCTTGACAGCGGTCATCAAGTGAAAAGTCCTAGAGGGCCCCCATACAGTAGACCTCTCTGGGCAGTCTTGTCTCTGTAGCTTTTGGGGATTTCATATTTTGCAACCATAGACAGATGAAAAAAAAAAAAGAGGCAGAAATGAGTAGTAGGTTCCTATTGTGCCAAACCATTATTTTTTTAATCATTGGGAAGGGAAAATGAATGACAAATACAGGACTTGGATAGGGAAACAGTAGCTTCCTTTTGGGGTCTGTTAGTAGCTGGCTGATCAACTTCCTTATCCAAGATTGTATGGGGTAAATCTTATCATGGTCTTTGACCAGGATGGAGATTGTATGGATTAAACCAGGGTGTCTTCAAACTTGGCCCTTTTATGACTTGTGGACTTCAACTCCCAGAATTCCTCAGCCAGCGTGCCTGGCTGAGGAATTCTGAGAGTTGGAGTCCACAAGTCATAAAAGGGCCAAGTTTGAAGACGCCCGGATTAAACCCATTTGGGTATGACATTTCATGCCCCTCTTTTTCTCAGCTAAATTTAAACATTCTCATCATTCCAGTCCAGTTCCATTCCTTCATTCTGTGTAATGTTGAGACGGTTTTTCTTTGGGGAAGATTTGCAAGAACATTTCAATCTTCATAGGATTTTATTTTTTTACATTTCCTCCTATAAAAAACAGGCACCAGCTCCAAGGA